AACGGATTTTTTTTATATTAATTTTATTAATGGTTATCTACTATTAAGTATTCAGTTTAAAACATACAAAACTAAACGGTTATAAACATGCGTAGCAGGACTGGAAGTAAATCGAATTTAAAAAATCAAAAATCAATAATTTCTCAAAAAATCGCGATTCTTTTTTCTTAAAACAAAAAATTGAATTTAGTGCTTTCATGATAACCACTATAAGTTAAATAATTCTAGGTGGATTCATAAACACAACGTTATTTTATAAAATTTAAATAGTATTTACTATGCAACATTTTCAGGTGACGTCATTAAATTGTTAGTGGGGATAATCATACAAATTTTGATTATCAGTTCACCATCTGCACGATATTCCTAAAATATATATAAAGAAAATTTGATAACTATCAATTTAAAATTTCGGAAAGTATCTGTCTATTAAAATCTACGTAGGCGAAACACACGGAAACGGAAGATCTATTTTTTCATATTCTAAGAGCCATAAAACGTAAACAAAAGCTTATGTTCGGGAAGTAAAAAAATCAAAATGAAATCACAAAAAATTTTGTTGGAAATATTTTAATTCAGACTGTCTTCAAACTATTTTGATTAGAGCTGCATTTAAAAAGGCCGTATCTGCATTATATTCCGTAATTTCAAAACAAAATTTTAAAAACACAGTGGTTTAAATCTTTTTTTTTATTTTCACGAAGAAAAAATTCGAACAACTAACCCTTAAGTATTTAAGCTAAGTAACGGAGGAACTTAAACGAATGGCTGAGTTAAACCATAAAATTTTTTACTCCCCTATAAAAAATTGATGACGTCGCCTCCAAAAATTATTAAGGAAAACATAAGAAAATCACAGAGACTATCAATCATAAATTAAATTAAATTCGCAAAATCATTTTTCACTTCCTGAACGTAAGCGAATTGTAATCGAGTCCGTCGACCGAATCTGTACTTCTACGTTTTCTCGTGTCTGTCTGTCTGTTCGTCTGTCTGTCTGTCGATCTGTCCGTCTATCTGTCCGTCTGCCCGTCTATCTGTCTGTCTGTCCGTCTGTCTGCCGTCTGTGCGGATTTTTATTAGACAGATAATCTCCGAAACTACTGGGCCGATTGTTGTCAAATTTTATATGTATATTATGAATATCATGTAGACGTTTTACCGTTGTTATCACAAAAACGAAAATCACAAAATCAAATTTCATAATATTATAAGGAAGCAGAAAAACGTTTTTGTTAATTAAAATGAGTTCTGGATAAATTTTATCCATGAATTTATTAAAGTTTATTAGTTTTTGTTTTTTGTGGGAATGGGTATGGGTGGGGCTTAATCTTTGGCTTTATTTTTTACTTAATATACATAGCATTCTTTGAACAGCACGATACTCAAAAACATGTTTTACATGATAATTGTTGTAGAGAAATAAGGATTTTAAGCTCCACCTTCTTGGCTCACGATGAAAAAAGAAAGTCATCACAATTGAGACAGGGTGGGTGGGCGGGGCTTATATTTTGCACCATCACTGAAGAACATGTTTCACATGGTAATTCTTGTAGTGAAGAATTTTATTATCGTTGCCATTGTTTCCGACAATTTCGTTGTCTTCTTCAGGTCAAAAAAGTTATTTTTATAAGTAAAATTTAGCGACACACAAAAAAAAACATGAAACTTCTATAGTCCGTTTATCGAATGGATAGAGTGACTATATGGGCTGAAAATTGTCATTTATAAACTCCGTTGTCAACTTACCGTTGATAGTATTTAAAGGGTTGTAGAAAAAAACTGGAGGATTTAAGTTGATTACAACAAAAATTTACTATTTGAGACATGTTTAAGTTTCTTGTTATCGAAATATGTCTAAACATATTAAGAAAAAAGAAAAAATGTAGCCCCGCCCACCCACCCTATCTAAATTGTGATGATTTTTTTTTAATCGTCGAGAGCCAAGAAGGCGGAGCTTAACTGCAAAATCCTTATTTCTCTACAAGAAATTAAAAACATGTTTTAAGTGTTGCTCAAAAAATACTATGTATATTAAGAAAAAATTATCACTAAAGATTAAGCCCCACCCATACATGCCCTGATCTAAATAGTAATGAAGTTTCCATTCGTTGGCAGACCTAGGGACCATATTCCCCTACAAAATTGTACCATTTTAAACGAGTTTCAAGTTTCTAAGAATAAAAAAATCATCACAATTGAGATGGGGTGGGTGGGCGGGGTTTATATTTCGCCCTTTTTTCTTAATATATATAGTATTTTTTAAACAATACGATACTTAAAAACACGTTTTTAATTTCTTGTAAAGAATTAAATATTTTGCAGTTAAGCTCTGCCCCCTTGGTCGACGGCGAATAACAAAAATCATCACAATTGAGATAGGGTGGGTGGGCGGGCTTACATTTTGCCATTTTGTTTTAGTATGAATGTGTAGACTTCTTTTTACAACATGAAACTTAAAACATGTTTAAAATGAAAAATTTGTATAAGGAAATATCGATTTTGCAATTAAGCTCCGCCCCCCTTGACTAACGACGAACAAAGAAAAAGCGTTACAATTGAGATAGGGTGGGTGGGTGGAGCTTATGTTTTGCATTTATTTTTCCTTCTTAATATATATTGTTTTTTCTCCATTACAAGAATCTGAAAATATGTTTAAATTGGTAAGTTTTATCCCATACACTTCTCTACAAATTTACCCTTTCAAACATGTTTTCAGTTTCTTGTCGTGAAAAGATGAGTACCTACATCTATCAAGAAAAAAAAAAGTAAAATACAAATCCCGCCCACTTGCTTTCATCTCAATTGTGATAACGTCTTTATTCGTTCGGAGATTATTGCAAAATACTTATTTCTCTACAAGAAACTACTATGTGAAACGTGTTTTCAAGTAACATGTTATTATATGTGAAGGAAAAAAATCCAAAAAATAAGGTCTACAAAAATGTATCATTTTAACCATTTTGAATAAATTGTCGCGAAAAGATGGTTACGTATATCCAGAAAAAAGACAAAATTTAAGCTCCGCCTACCCACGCCATGTTAATTGTAATGATGTTATTCATTGTGAATATTGAAATTTTAAAAAGTGTTATATTTCATCTTGTAAACTGTGGAAAAATGGTGGAAATTTTCCAGAAAATGAAGACGAAAGTAACTTCTGGAAATGAAAATGTATAAAAAAAGCTTTAGTTAATTTTCGGAAATGTTCGAATAAGACGTTGTGAATATTGAAATTTTAAAAAATTGTTATATTTCATACTGTAAATTGTGGAGATGCGAGGAAAGTTCTGTGGAAACAACTTTCGATCCTTTTTTTAAATTTTATGGAAAAGCTGGATATAGTTCAAAGGCGAGGGAAGTTCTGTCTAAACAATCTTGGACCAATTTTTTAAATTTAAAAGGTAGGTAGGGAAAGTTGGGGTAATATTGAAAATTAATCCCAAACCTCATTTAACTTGCCCCATATTTTCTAGACATGCAAAACTAAATCTTCCCTGCATTTAGTTAAATAAAATTTGTAACTGGGTTCACTGTGCTCTTTTTGCCGTAGCTTCCCTTTTATTTACTCACAAAAAGAACTTCAAACGGACCTTCTCTTATTTCTAGCTTTTAAAATGGCACTGTAGATACGTCATAATGATACAGCCAATTATAAATAAAAGTTAGCTAATTTAGTCGAGTGGCATTCTCGACCAAACGACTTTTCGAAAATTTAAAAGAGTGAATTAATCGAAACGCCAAGCCTATTTCTAGCTTATATTTTATAGACTTATAACCGACCATGGTGCAGTCAACAGGTAAATCAAATTACCACACATAAAATTAACATTAATTTGCAATATAAGATGCTTTTTGTCTGATGTAATCAAAAGTGATATAGTCATATATCGCGTTAATTTTCTCCGTTTTGCTATTGACACTAAAATTGAGCTCTATATGTGTTTATAAATAATTTTCCAGAACCTACTACAATGCGAAAGGTCATAAACCATTTATCTCATTTTGAATTAATTTTAAATATAACGTTTAATAGGATTATCATAAAACAACTGAAATGGCTGTTCAATTAATTTGATATTCCATTTATTGAAGTTTTATTTCGCTAATATTTTGCTCTGTTTTTATTGAATACCCATTTTCTGTTTCCGCAGGAAGTTTCTAGGGTATTTGTATACTTAATATTCTCAAAGTGTAATTTCTTTTTAAACACGAACTTTTTATTTTCGGGAAACGAATTTTTTGCACGTTAAACAAATACATGGCTTCTTACTACGAACCACTGAGGGTTTTCTTAGTTCATCTTCGTTTGTAAATTTCAATATTTGCGATGCAAATACGCCGTGTGCTATTATGACAATTATGAACACTCACTAGGTAAATATTATTGTCACACTTTTTTAAAAAAACTATTAATCTTCGAATCAAATTTTTTACTTGTTGAAAATCGTGCCGCAAATGTACACCCTATAATAACAATATGTTTAATAGCAGCGGTACTCTAAATAATAAGATATTTTAAAGTGATAAACTGTCCAGACGCCGTTTTATCGATATAAAATTCACCGACAGTGTTGACAATAGCGCTAATATAACAAAATAATGTGAATCATTACAGTTTCACTTCGTCGGATGTCAAAGTAATAACCCATTGTTCGAGGTGAAAATCGTCCAGAAAGGAAAATCGTTAGAAATTGTATTTGTCGCTGCTGCCTTTTTCTTTTCGATTGTTAACCGATATTGACATTTACGGTTACAAAAACCAACACCCTGCGAAATTTCCAGTCTAATAAAAGCCCGAGTAAAACTGCAACCAGCTTGATAATTCAGGTCAACAATTCTATTTGTTTCGACTCATTACTCCGTGTTTAATTAATGGTTAAACATGCCGACAACTCTGTCCTATTTGTACAAGAGATTCACACCGCCGGTATTTAATTATTCAAATTCCTCCCTTTCTGAGCCGTCAGCAGTCGCGATAAAGACGAAAAAATTCAAACCTACAATCTGCATCACCGCATCAACGACCTCTTATCAGTGAACTAATAAGGAAATTGGGGATTCACACCGGGATCGTGTAACCGAACACTCGTCACAAGTCCGGCGGATGGCCGAGGGTGGCTGTCACTTCTTGCGCTGGATATGACACTGATGACACACTACATACAATGTCACCACATGGATGTATGTCAAGAAACACACTGTCACCGAAGAAGACCGACCGGCGGCACGCGCGTGTTTCCACTGCTATCCGACCGCATTACGTAACTCGCGGAACTGGGGAAGGCAGGGTGGGGGACGAAACGAGGAGGATGACGCGGGCAACTCGTCTACAAGACCGGAGTCTCCGGGAGGTACGTGCTGTATACTCCGGTGTTAGAGCAGCAGGAGTGGCGAAGAGGTGGTGGGTGAAAGCGATGAAAGCGTGTGGAATTCAAGGGCACGAGTGCCTGCAGTCGCCGCCAGACAGAGGACAAGCCCTTGTAGAGACACTACATTTTTTAAATTCTAGGAAATCTAAAAGGAGTCTGTGAACAAACTACTTTTACAAATTCCTTGGTTGCAATTTAAATGAAATGTAAAATGTACAAAGACCGAAACTTGTTGCATTTGAGCTATTTCGTAATTACTTCCTTCCGTAGGTACTGTAAAATTAAGTGAATATAAAAAATGTACGTTAATTTAAAAGTTGGAATGTATACATTTGATCTAACTCGTCACTAAAGTGGAGTAGGTAGCCACAATATTATTGATTATTATTATTATTATTAGGTTTTTACTGAGAAAAACAAAATAGATATTCAATATTTTTCTCGTGTTAAGATGTGTAGTTCTAACTGCAATTTGTTTTACTAATAAACTGTTTGTTAAAGAAAAATCTACGAAGTAACTGTCGAAAGTTACTGTCGCACGCAAAAGTATTGTCGGTACTCAGAAGCGCAGATTTAGACTGCTCTGCCTCCTCACTGGGGGTTTCCATAATCCCTAAACACTTAGACAGAATAAAGTGGACAAAGATAAAGTTTCCTTGTTTGATTACAGATAATTTTGAATTCAAAACGAAAACTTTTTGAGAAAATATTGTAAATTCTTATTTAATAAATTTATTACGGGTGGATTTTAGATGGGAGTTGGTATTTTTTGTTAACAGATCAACCTGATCCATTAAGCAATCGAAAAAACTTACGAATCTTGACAATTATCTTCTATTTATCTTCTATCTATTTCAATTTTGGGAGTCTTAAATACTTCGGCTTTTAAATTTTTCGATTTTTCGACTTTTCGTGTTTTTGATTTTTTTCTTATTCGATTCTTCAAAATATAGCGACTTTTTAAACCTCACATTTTTGGATTTTTCAGTTTTTTGATTTTTCGATTTGCTGATGTTTTGATTGCCCAATTTTTTTGATTTTCAATTTTGGAATTTTTAAATTTTAGATTTTTTCTCTGTATTTCGATTTTTTGCCTTCTCGTTTTTAGATATTTCGATTTTTCAATTTTTCAGAATTAATTTTCAAGTTTTTCGATATTTTGATTTAACGTTTTTCTTTCGATTTTTCGCCTTCTCGTTTTTAGAATATTCGGTTTTTCAATTCTTCGGAATTAATTTTCCAGTTTTTCGATGTTTCGATTTTTCACTTTTACGTTTGATCGGTTTTCTAAGTTAAAATTTTTCAATTTTGAATTTTCCCATTTTCCGAATTCGATTTTTTAATTTTTCAATTTTCCAATTTCCCAATTTCGCTTTCTCGATTTCTCAGTTTTTCGAAAACAATTCATCTTTTCAATTTTTTGATTTTCCACTTTTTTAACGTTTCAGTTTTGGGATTTATGTATTTAAATATTTAGATTTTTCAATTTTTCAATTATTGGTGTTTCTAAATTTTTGGATTTTTCGATTTTTCGATGAATGGAATATTTAATTTTTCAACTTATCGATTTTTGTCTTTCCGATTTGTCGAATTCTCAATTTTTTGAGATCTCAAATTTTCAAAGTTTTAAGATGTTTCGATATACTTATATCTCGATTTTTAAATTTTTAGACTTTTCGACTTTCTCTTTTTGTGATTTTTTTTATTTATTTGATTTTTCAAAATTTTGCGACTTTATAAAGCTTACACTATATTCGATTATTCAATTTTTTGATTTTTCAATTCGTTGATGTTTAATACCTGGATTTTGTAAATTTTCGATTTTTCGAACTTTTCAATTTAGATTTTTCACTTTCTCAGTCTCGATTTTTTGCCTTCTCATTTTTACATTTCTCGATTTTTCAGAATTAATTTCTCCATTTTTCAATATTTTGATTTTTCAATTTTTCGATTTATCGGGTATTTTACATTTAAATTTTTCAATTTTGAATTTTCCCATTTTTCGATCTTTTGATGTTTCGATTTCGAGGTTTTTCAATTTTTCGATTTCTCGATTTCTAAGTTTTTCGATTATTCGTCCTTTCCATTATTCGAGTTTCCAATTTTTCTACATTTCAGCTTTGGGATTTATGTATTTAAATTTTTCAATTTTTCAGTTTTTTGATTTGTCGATTTGTTGAAGTTTTGATTACTCGATTTTTTAAATTTTCAAATTTCCGAATTTTTATTAAATTTGTTCCTTTTTCGTTGTTTCAATTTCTCTATCTTTTAATTTTTTCCCTTCTCGTTTTTAGATTTTTCGATTTTTCAATTTTTCGGAATAAATTTTTCAGTTTTTCGATATTTTGATTTTTCAATTTTTCGATTTATCAGGTATTTTAGATTTAAATCTTTCAATTTTGAATTTTGCCATTTTCAATCTTTAGCTATCTCGATATCGATTTTTTGACTTCTTGACTTGTTGATCTTTTGATGTTTCGAAGTTTTTCTAGTTTCCAATTGAAAAATCGATTAATCTCAAAATGAGAAGGCAAAAAACCGAAAGACTGCAACGCGAAACAACAAAAAAGCGAAAAATCTAAAATTTAAAAATTGGAAAAATTGAAAATTTACAAAATCGAAAAATCAAAAAAATGTAACATTTAAAATGTCCAAAATTTTGAAAAATCGAATAAATAAAAAAATCAAAGAAACAAAGTTGAAAAATCTAAAAAATTTAAAAATTGAAATAAACTTAGAAATCGGAAAGACGAAAAAGCGAAAAGTCGAAAAATTAAAAAATCCATTAATCGAGAAATTGAGAAATCAAAAAATTCAAAAATTCAGAAACGCCAAAAATTGAAAAATTGAAAAATCGAAAAATTTAAATCCCAAAACTGAAACGTTAAAAAACTGGAAAATCGAAAAGATGAATTATCGAAAGACCGAGAAATCGAAACAACAAAAAAGTGAAAAGTCTAAATTTAAGAAATTCTAAAAATTAAAAATTTACAAAATCGACGGATTGAAAAATCAAAAAATTGAATAATCGAAAAATGGGAAAATTCAAAATTGAAAAATTTTAACTTCAAAAAACCGATAAACCGAAAGTGAAAAATCGAAATACTGAAAAATTAATTCCAAAAAATTGAAAAATCGAAAAATCTAAAAACGGGAAAGCGAAAAATCGAAAGAAAACCGTTAAATCGAAATATGGAAAAATTGAAAAATCAATTCCGAAAAAATGAAAAATCAAAAATTTTAAAAACAAGAAGCCAAAAAATCGAAGGATTGAGAAATCGAAACAACAAAAAATTGAAAAATCAAAAATTTAAAAATTCGAAAAATTGAGAATTTTAAAAAATCGAGCAATCAAAATAGATAAATCGAAAGATCAGAAAACTGAAAAATCGAAAAATGTCAGATTGAAAAAGTCGCTAATTTTGAAAAATCCAATAAATAAAAAATCAAAAAACACAGAAAGTCGAAAAATCTAAAAATTTAAAAATCGAAATATATATTGAAAAATTCCTAAATTGAAAATTTCTAAAACTTAGACCTTGAAAATTTGAAAAATCGACAAATCGGAAAGATGAAAAATCGAAAAGTCGAAAAATTAAAAAATCCATTCATTGAGAAATTGAGAAATTCAAAAATCCAAAAATTTAAAAACGCCACAAACTGAAAAATTAAAAATTCAAAAATTTAAGTACATAAATCCCAAAACTGAAAAGTTAAAAAATTTGAAAATCGAAAAATTGAAAACATGAATTGTCGAAAAACTGAGATATCAAGAAATCGAAATCGAAAAACTGAAATATCGCCAAATCGAAAAATTGAGAAATGAAAGAAGCTAAAAATTGAAAAATGGGAAAATTCAAAATTGAAAAATTTTAACTCAAAAAAAACGATAAACCGAAAGTGGAAAATCGAAATACTGAAAAATTAATTCCAAAAAATTGAAAAACCGGAAAATCTAAAAAAGAAAGCGAAAAATCGAAAGGAAACCGTTAAATCGAAAATTGAAAAATCGAAATAACGAAAAATTGAAAAATTAATACTGAAAAATTGAAAAATCAAAAAAACTAAAAACAAGAAGCCAAAAAATCGAAGTATTGCGAATCGAAACAACAAAAAGGTGAAAAATCAAGAATTTAAAAATTCGAAAAATTGAAAATTAAAAAAATCGAGCAATCAATCAACATCAACAAATCGAAAGATTAGAAAACTGAAAAAATCAAAAATTAAAAACGCCACAAATTGAAAAATTAAAAATCGAAAAATTTAAATACATAAATCCCAAAACTGAAACGTTAAAAAATTGAAAACATAAATTGTCGAAAAACTACGAAATCGGGAAATGGAAATCGAAAAGTTGAAAAATCGCGAAATCGAAAAATTTAGACATGAAAGAAAACAGGCGAATTCATAAACCACAAATTAAAATACCTAGAAAATTGGATAACACTCGGTGTGGTAGTTTCGGAGAACATCTGTCAGAAAAACCGATACGGAACAGACAGACAGACAGACACGCGACGACGACGTCATATATGTCATATTTGTAATGAACTAAATTAGTTTCCCCTGTACATTATTTTGTAGTTAGTAGAATCCTAACTACAAGTAAAGATGATGAATTATTTACTTATTGATATTAAATTTTATTCCTCTAATTTTTCTGAAATTGTGGCACTGCAATAATGTATTAGTGTTAACATTGTACATTTCAAACGTACTATATTGATCCCCACTAAAAAATTGATGACATCGTCTAAAAATTTTTCGCAGCTTTTAATTTCCTTTTACACGATAATATGTGTTCCATCAGCACACAGTAGATACATTGTGTTGGTAATAATATCGTAAAAAACCTTAAATTACAAACTCTGTCGAAAATGGTCTTATAACGAACCACGTTAACGCACATTATTACCTGAATTACTCAGACTAACTGACTAT